ATAGTTTGTTTTAAAGGTTTATACTATTAGTTTAATAAAACTAGATCATACTGAATACACTTTCATTTATTTTTGCCGTTGAATAGTGTTGTGTTTAACTTGCTGAGTCAACTTTCAAACTTGGCCTATTAGAGGCAAGGACCATGATGGCATCTGACCAGAATAGCTCAGTTTAAGGTAAATCAGAGCAGGACATGTCTATTAAAGAATATAGGGCATAAAGAAGAATGAAATCCTGTTATTTGCAGGAGACGGGGTGGGAATGGAGGACACTGCGTTAACAAGTCAAGCACGAGAAGGAAAGGACTGTGCATGTTCTCCAAACCACAGAAGTAAAACACAAACAAAGAACAGTTGGTCTGGGTATTAAAGAGTATTCATTATAAGTGGGGGGAGGTGAGGTGTGTGAGTCCAGATAGACAGATTGTGGGTTTGGTCAGCAAATGCCACATGCACACAAGACCATACAGAGGCAACCGGAAGAGGAGTCTGGTTTCCTGGGCTCCGCTGAGACTCTCTGTCTTGTGAGCCCCAAGTGCTTGCTCATTTGTGGGATGGGGCTAATAGCGCCTGCTGTTTCCAACTCTTCAAGACAAGAGTACTGCTGTAGGAGATGACTGAAGACATAAGAAAGCATTCGCACATTCTTAGCAGGGTCACCAAGACATCCCCCAGTACCCGGAGATGCTCTCCTGGCTAGAGAAGGTCAATTGAAACTTCTTATAATTGAACTCGCCACATGTAGAAAATGTGAAGTAGTTTTCTGACGTGTCCTTGTCAATAAAAGTGGGTACTCCACTGCCCTAACTGACCCACTTTAACCTTTTGACAAAACTGCATGTTTTGCTTAACGATGACTGACTGCATAGCATTATAGTCTATTCAGGACCCTGGGCTATATAATGCTACTGATTGTAGACAACATTTCTCCTACACTTTACAGGGTCTTCTCCAGCAGGGGAGGGTTTTCCTACTCATAGGATAGAAAGATGGTTAGGCCACAAAGTATTTCCTCCCCAGTGTCTTTGTTTAATTTATTCCCCTTCAGAACGCACACCATCCTACCGCTGTGGGAGAGTGTATTCTGGTGCACAAGTGCTATTCCTCGCCCATCAGAAATACTCTTCCCTGTCACCCCTGACTCTGTGTATCAACATGCACCTTTCCTTCAAGGCTTGCAATCAGAGCGTTGACCGGTTATTACCTTTTACTCCATAATTTAAAATTAGCACCCCCCCCCCCGCGTGTGTGCTTGCATGGTGTGTGTGTGTGCGTGCGTGTGTGTGTGTGTGTGTGTGTGTGTGTGGCTCACGTGGAGGTCAGATGACAATTTTCTCTCTGCCGCGTGGGTCCTGAGGAATGAACTCAGGTCTCTAGGCCTGGAAGCAAGCGCCTTAACTGGATGAGTCACCCTGCCATCCCCCCACTGTAATTCTTGAACATTAGTATCAATAGCCTTTTGTCAGTCTATTTATTATTATGAGTGCTTCCCAGCCATTAGTCTCTGCCCAGTTCCATGGAGTATATCATGGCGTGGAAACCTCCTTTTCAATAGCTTACTACAGCCCGCTTGGCAGTCTCGAGGCAGGTGGCACGGGAGCAGACAGGAAGGCTGGAAGGGAAGGGCAGGCACTGCTGTCTGCTCTTACACACGTTTTTTGTTTGTTTGTGGTTTTGGTTGATTATGAGCATCCAAAGTATCCGCTGGAAGACTCCTGAAACAAGCAGCTTACAAGTTCTTAACCACATGCCACTGAGTAGTGGAGTGATGAACTCTTTGTCTGTCCTGTTCAGCCCCACTTGAGAAGCTAATCACCCTTTGGTCCAGCATACCCACATTGTGTATGTTATCTACTCCCCATCATGCATGTTGTCTACTTGTTAGTCACTCAATGGCTCTTCGGTTACTGGATCATGGGTTCTGGCGTTGCAACGCTTGTGTTTAAGTGATCTTATGTTGTGGCCCAATGCCTCCTCACGATTTCTGTGCCTCTCAGATCCTGGCACCATGAAAACACTATCACTTCTTATACTCATAAGAGCAAGTGCAGTATATGAACAGAGTGAGCACATATGCATTTTACTGCAATATGTTGTTTTAATTTATTTGACTGTTTGTCATTTTTAGTCTATTGCTGTTCCTGGCTTATGAATGAAACATTGTCTCAGTTGTATGTGTGTGGGGACAAACAGTTTACACAGATCTCAGTGTTGTATGGGATTTCAGGCATCTACTCATGGTAGTGGGGGTTTACCCTGTTGAGGAGAGAGGATCACTTCATTCAATATGTTTTGTAAACTGTCACCTCATGTGACAAGGACCTGGCATAATCAAGATAGTCCCTACTGCTAAGGGTGGGGGAAGTGTGGGGTTAAGGGCACTGCCAAGTCCACAGAGTGACTCTCTCCATGCAAATGTTTATTAGAATATATTATTAGATGTACAATATTGTATTGTATTATGGGTTGCTGTTAACCGCTTAAAGTGCCTAGTTTAACAAAAATTAGCTTTATCACAGGCATGCATTTGTGGGAAAAAAATCAGTGTACACAGTGTTCAGTGTTACCTGTAGTTTCAGGAATCCTCCAGTTTCCATCCCTAGACGCCATAGGACTCTCATGGCCTCACATGTGTCTGACGCAAGACAGACTCTGACTAGGTGGGCAGCTGAAAGTCTTCAGTGAATTTGTTACAGAGAATGACTTTATCCTGTTTGTGTCTTTCCCTGAATTCACAGAACTTAGCAGACTACTCACTGCTGTTTTCAATGTTTTTTTTTTTTTTTTTTTTTTATGACCACTTTGGGGATTCAAGTAAACACGGCTTAATTAGCAATGAATGCAACCAGTGGAATTTAGTTGAGATGTTAATAGAAGCAGATAAGAAATGTTCACTAAAACAAACAAACAAACCAGGATTCAGTGATATTTGGGGGGGCATGGGGGACATTATAAGAAATTAGGACCCTAGCCATTACTTGTTCCTGAGGACATAGTAATGCCTTTGAAGGAAAGCTTCATTTTGCTCTCAGGAGATCTTTTTGTTGTTGTTGTTTGTTTTTTAGAGACAGGGGTTCTCTGGATGGCTTTGGAGGCTGTCCTAGAATTCGCTCTGTAGACTAGACTGGCCTTAAACTCACAGAGATCCACCTGCCTCTGCCTCCTGAGTGCTGGGATTAAAGGTGTGCACCACCAACCCCGGCTTCTCAGGAGATCTTTTGACTGAGCTGTTAACTCCTGGGCAGAGACAGGGCAGCTCTCCAGTTAGAGGAAAGATGGATGATATTGCATACTATCTATCTATCTGATCCATGGTTTCTAGAGAGCATGGACTCTGAGTGTCTGTGTCAGAGAATTTGTCCCCGAACTCTGTGATGTCTAACCTCCCAATAGCTGTGCTTGACTTTCCTGAGGGTCTGCTGCACCAAGAGCCTCTGGAAAAGACTTCTACTTTTGTGATGAGGCCCTGTCTGCTGCATCTCTCAGGTTCCAACCAGGACGACAAGGGGGCTTTCAATGATTCATGCAATTGCAAAGAAATCTAAAGAAACCTAGCAGAAGGTTAACTTTTGCATAAGTGTATGTTTTGTTACTTTTTGTGCCTTTGTGTGTTTTTTGGACTCATTTGTAAGATTAATAAGAATGCCTTTCAGTGTCTTACCAGCCAGAGGTTTTTATGGGCATATTTTCAGACATTTTTCCGTTAAGTAATGGGCGAGAGCACGTGTGAACTTTGAATCATGGAGGATCTAGTGTGAATAATAATGTCTAATGCTTCTTAGTGCTATCTTTGGCTTAAATCATAGATTTGAGCGTTAAATTAAATTAAGAAACTATCTCTAAAATGGGAGTAATAGTGGTACATTTCAGCAGGGCTTTTGTTTTGATAAGAATTAAGTGAGAAAACGTGTGTACAGTGCTCATGCTCGGCCCAGAGCCTGGAACATAGGGATTATCTATACGCATGAGGGCTCGCGCGCGCACGCGTGTGTGTGTGTGTGTGTGTGTGTGTGTGTGTGTGTGTGAGAGAGAGAGAGAGAGAGAGAGAGAGAGAGAGAGAGAGATGTTGGTAAATGTAATCCAGGAAGTGAGAGGAAAATTCTGTAGAAAGAACAGTTTAATGCCCCATAGGAGCTGTGTATTCCATGCTAATGGCCTGTGAACTTCCGGCTACCTTGAAGTTCAGGATCAGATTTAAGGAAGCATATCTGACGTGAATAAACTTCTTCTGTTTCCTCTGTCTTGGGAGGGGTGTCTCACTTTTCAGACTCTCTTTATTACCCCCCCCCCCATTCTGCACACACTCGTAAACCCCTGTAGGTTCCTTGCACCGTGCGGCCTGGAGGGAAGGAAAGGCACAGGGAGGGCTGCAGGCAGAAAGGGCTGGTTACACAAGATGGGAATGGCTGGTGTGGTGATGACTTTGCATTCCTGCTAACTGGTCAGGTTTCTCATCACACAGAGAACTCTTTCAGGGACTGTGACTGCTCCCGGTTTGTTTATATTTTGACTGACGTTAAGCCTTAAGCTACTGTCCCTGATGCAAATGAGAGCTTTCATAAAGGACCCCACCTGAGGGTTGTCATGGGCTTCCGGTTTGCTCTAGTGTCTGATAACCGTTAGTGCCCGTTCTTCATTATCTTTGTGGAGATTGGGCACTTTATTTTTTTGGCAGCAAATGTTTCTTCCAAGGTCAATTTCCTTCAAGTGCTCAGCACCGTTTCACATGCTGTGTGCTCAGGGAATGCAAATTAATTCCATGTTAGCTTTAGCCAAACCAGCTAGGAAAGTAAACCTGATTCTAAAAACACCATACACACTGATAAATACCATCTAAATAACACAATGCTTGGTCTTAGCATATATAGACGCATACAAGTTCGCGCTAATTCTAGAGACATTATTTCATAGCATCGTTCTAACTCATAAGTGACTTCAACGGGAGATGTGCTGTCTTTTCTATTGTGTTTATTGTAACTGGGGGCTATAGAAGAGTTTGAGGATACATGAATATTTCATATATATATATATATATTTTAAATTTAAAAGATGCAAAACACATTTCTTTTGGAAAGGAGAAACTCAGAAAACTCTGGGGACAACAGGACCATTCATAATCCCTTCATCCGGAAATAATTGCTAGGAGAGTTTGAGTTTATCTCTTTCCACACATTGCTAAGGCCACACAGGTTCTCGAGATGGGTGAACAGATTGCTGTAAGGCAGATTCTGAGTGGCTTTGGGACATCTACAGGGATCTTCAGAACAGTGTAAGTCCTCCTGCCTGGAGAAGGTGCAGTCCTGAGGTGACAGGTCTCGGGACTCACTTTCTGTGAGGAGGAAACTGTCTTTTCTTCCTCTACTACCTCCTAACTTCTCGTCCATCTCCCCTCAGAGAGGGCTGGGCTCTGGGAAAGCCCCTGGCCAGCGGGGAGGGGAGGCTGAGAAATGCCAGGATGCCAGACAGCAGAAGTCTTTCCTAATCACCGAAGGGCAGCTGCGTTGTGTCCTATCAGGGAGCAGCCGGAAGCAGGTCTTTCCAGCACCTATGGGTGTAATTCTTAGGCACAATCCCTTCCTTGTTGTTAAGAATGCTTCTAACGCCTGTCTTTCCCTGTCTGAGTTCGTGGTTCACTCAGGTTTCATTCTCATTATGTCCCCTCACCCCACCCCCACACGTTCAGGGGAGCTGTAGTCTGTTCTGGGGGAGATTACCCAACTCCCTGCCCTGACAGCAGGACTTGGTCTTAGTCCATTTTTCCTTGTTCTTCCCTACCGTAGAGTGAGCATCACATCCAGACTAGGCCCTTAAGGGATTCTCTGGAGGGTTAAAACAAGAATAAAAAAAAAAAAAGTAGGACCCTTTCTTCCGGGTAGAAAAATTCGGAAGACATGAGCCCAGGGTTCTGTTGACTCTAACCCATAATATGGGAACAATGGGGATTAACCTGGACCTCATCAAGAAGCAGGGAAGCAGAGAGATAAAGAAGGATGGAGTAGGGGGCGTGGTTAAAGAAGGTTAGGGGGAGAGAGAGAGAGACACAGAGAGAGACAGAGAGACAGACAGACGGACAGACTCAATAGCATTTCTATAGTTTTAATTTTCCCAAGTGTCTTAGTCAGAGTTCTATTCCTGTGAAGAAACACCATGGCCATGGCAACTCTTATAAAGGAAAGCATCTTAATATGGGCTTGCTTACAGGGTCAGAGGTTTAGTTCATTGTTATCGTGGCAGGAAACATGGCATCATGCAGGCATGTGGTTGGTACAGGAGAAGCTGAAAGCTCTTTACCTGGGTCCGTGGGCAGAAGGAAGAGAAAGAGAGCCACTGGGCCTGGCTAGGGCTTCTGAAACCCCGAGGCCCATCTCCAGTGACATACTTCCTCCAACAAGGCCACACCTCCTAATCCCTTTGCCTTTCAAATCACCACACTAAGTTTGGGTTTTCTCTCTTAGCTTCTATAATTCTACCACCTACTCTAGACATCTCTATCCAGTGGATTAGCTCTGAGCTGAGTTTTTTTCATTTGCAGTTCAAACAAATGAACTGGACTCTCCCAACCCTTCAGCCTATTGGCTTCCTTGAATTTCCAGCTTCACAGACATGGAGATCACTGGCTCTCACTGTCCTAGGAGCCTCTGGTTCTGACCCCACCCTGTCCTGTCCCTTCTTTTACTCATCGTGGTAGTGTTAGGCCAACTCTGTAAAATTCCGGGGCTGTGGTTGGTCTTCTCTGTACTGTTTTCAGAGCTGGCTGCTTAGCTCATTAAGTCTCTAATACCCTATAGCAGAGAAGTGTCAAGATAAGCTACTTTCTTTTTAAAAATTATTTTTAAAATTGTATGCTTATGTTTATAGTTGCATGTGGTTTTGTACACTCGGGTGCATTACCTGAAGGATCCACAAGAGGGCATTGGATTTTCCCCTAGAACTGGCATTGTTACTGGTGGTTGTGAGCCGTGCCATGTGGTCGCTGAGGGTAGAAACCCCGGGTGCCCCTGCAAGAGCAACATGCAATTTTAGCCACTGAGCCATCTGTCAAGCACCCAAGTCACTTTTTAGACAAAGGTGACAGATCAGGTAGTTGAAAAGTAAGAGAAAGTTTAACTAAATGGATGTATATATGGTTTCTTTTGGAGTCGGGTACTAGGGGCAGCAGATGGTACCCTGTAAGCTGAGTGGCAGCAGTGAACCATGATGGTGACAGAGAATCTGAGAGGAGGCAGAGTGGGAGGTTCAGACATTTGAGCTGAGGAAGCAGCGTTGTCAAGTGTTCTTCCTCTCAAGGCTGATAGTACCTGTGGGGAAACCGAGGGCTGACAGGAGACTCGTGCAGGCAATTCCCCGGGCGAATGTCTCTGAGCAACAGTTTCAGCTACTTCCTCCAAACCAAGTGCTTCCAAAGATGCTTGCACATAGGCTTGGCGGAGAACAAGGACGGATTGAGCTGGGAGATAAATGAGGCCTGGCTCTCCCTGGTGGTTGTCAGAATGAGGCGGGGGTGAGTCTCCTGTGGCCTCACAGAGTAAATCCCTGCCCCTAGCAACAGCAGTGGTCTTGGCTTGAGGACAACTCAAGAGCCCAGCAAGGAGGGCTGGGAGTCAAAGCGGGCCCATGGTCTGGGTAGGTTTGGGCTGATCCCTGGGATGGATGTCACCTGGACCCCATCCCGTGAGCGACAACACTCAGTGTGAGGCGTGTCTTCATTGAGACCTTAAATGGGGAGACTAAAGGGAGTGAGCTGCTTGATGTGTCCTTGACTGAGGACAGCTCATTTGGAGAGCTAGAAACAACAGGGATCGCAAGTCTCACGGCAGTGGGACTGGAGGACACAGGGAGAGAAAGCCGTCCGCACGCCAGGGACAGAGGCCATGAGACGCAGCCACACAGGTGACCTGGACTGGGACTCCAGCCTCCAGTTTAGGTAAGGAATGACGAAGTGTGGCTGTTTGCGGTCCAGCAATCTACCTAACCCTGTAGTATCCGCATTTAAATTTACATAGTAGGTGACATAGTGTGCATGGTCTAGGTGTGTGTATGTGTGTCTCTGTGTGTGTGTGTGTGTGTGTGTGTGTGTGTGTCTCCAAGCATACAGGAAGGCAAGTAAGTGTAGGAGCAAAGACATGAATGGTGGTGACCGGGGTTCAATGAGATTCTTATCTAACACAACATGAGTCAGGTTAAGGAGCCCAAACAGAAGTGAATATGAAGATGTCTGTAGAGTGGCCAGCCATATTAAGACGCAGGGAGATGCCACTATGCACATGCCAGGCAGAGATGCCTCTGGAAGAAGGTGTCAAGTCAGCACCTGGTCGAGGCTCTAGCCTACAGAAGGCTAAAGATTACCTACTCACGCCCACGCCGCTCCACTTGCCCCCAGGAAGCACGTGATTCACAGGAAGGAAGTGCTTTACTGGGCTTCTCCAGACACAAACCTTCCTGAAAACAGCCATCTTTATACGTGGGCCCTTCCCTGCTCAGCAAAAGCCAGTGATACCATACTGTCTACTATTCATACTTAAACTTTTATTTATATAACAAGTGTTAAAATATTTACGGATCAATCTGTGTGTACATGTGTATGTGCGTAGGGGGAACTGTCAGTTGTTTCTTCAGTGACATTCTCAGAAGTCATCGGCTACCATGGAGGGATCAGGGAGGGAAACCATGACATCCTGCTTTCTGGGCATTCCTACTTCAAGCTATATTTAGTGCTTGTGAGGGGACAGGTTGGAGGTGAACATTTTGAGTCAGCTTGGTACCCAAAACCTTGCAAATGGCACACTTCAAATCTCATGAAAAGAGAAACCTGCTGATAAACTGAGCACCAGGAATGAGAGACCAAGATTTGAAGTTTGCACATTAGGGCTGAGTATGACCCATCCCCACTGGACTGGCTCATCCCAGGGTGAAGTTCCCTGGAGGAGAAAGACTGGATGTGAGCTTGTTCCCAAGAAATCATCTTAAGGGAAGCCTTCAGGGACTTCCCCTAAACACCAGTCAAAAAGACATCTGTGCACATCGACAGCCTTTGAGTTTCACAGACAGGGTGAGGCCTGGCCTCTGTGACCTCACATCGGGGTCACTGTTACGGTTATAGATATGACCTAGTTCTGGGAGCAGCAGGATCCCTTATCGTGGGTTAGGATTTAACCCAGGAGAAGGTGGGCAGAAATCCTTTTCAGGTAAGTCAGTGCAGAAAATCTTTGGGTGAAGACCCAATCTCACACCAGTGTATATATCTGGAAGGGAGCTCCCTTGAAAGGGGCGACAAAGACATGATTCAGTGTCTGAGGGGTTTTGACTTACAAGACAGATGTGATCTTGAGAAGGATTGCAGTAGTAAGGGCCAGAGCATGGCCACGTATTACATACAGAGAGGGGACACCATCCCCACACAGGCAAGAGATCTTGTGAAGATCTGCACAGCCTTCAATGCCTTAGTAAGGCATCCTCTAGACACATGGAGAACTGACCTCTGCTGTTTCTCTTAGCTGCCTATGATGTTCCATCACGACGTCAGACCATAGAAGGAAGGAAATACGTGATGGGGCCTTGGTGGGACTCTCTTGTGTGTCTCACAACTTAGAGGCAACAATCTTTCCACATGAGGTCATAGGCTTTCAACTGGCCACCCATGAACACCAAATAACAAGGGCACACCTTGGAATCAAGGGTGTGTGGGCCACGCCCAGGAATCCTCTGTGCCCAGGTCTTCCTATGTAAGGTCTTCCAATGTAAGGCCTTCCAGAGATCAAGAATAAGAAGTTGACCTCAAGTATAACCGAGGTCACACCTACTACTCCACAAAGGTTAGACACAGCCTAACCTCAAGGGGTGGTGGTGGTCTGATGAATGAAATCATGGCAAAGGTCATAAAGCGACATCAATAGAAGCCTGGCAGCTCTTTAACTGGGCCACATTGATACTTCATAAAACCCAGGAAAAACCTCATTACAATGGAGACAGGACCACACCATAGTCCTGAGTCAGTTGTTCACATAAATGACCAAACAAGATGAGCATATATACATATAAAGAATTGTTAGACTGTTCCTGGTCTTATTTACATCCAATAGATGTTTTTCCCCACTTCTGTTCAACAAAAGTCATGGAATCTTACACAAGTCTTCCTTACCTTATGACTGACTGCCAAGAGGTATCAATGTACTTTGGGTGAAACTTCAAGTGTGTTTAGGTCACAATCTTTCTTCTCCCAACCTAGGCTCCATTATTAATACAGGGGAGCCAGGACCAAACCATAGCCTTTATGGTATGTGAGTCACAAATGACAATCAAACAATATGGGCAGACTTTGTAATCAGGGGTGTGTGGGCTGTGGCCTTTTTTCATGTCTGACTACATGCTATCTAGACTTCAAGAAATGCAGAAAAAGTAGATGTGAAGCGAGAGTTAGCCCACACCAAAACCCTCCAAGAATAGAAACCCAATGTACTAACAAGGGCTCTTTAGTCATTGAGATCCATCGTATTACCTTCCAGGCTTATGGGATATACCTTTCTTTCACCAAATCCAGGCAACATTCACAAATCAGGGAGTCAAGACTATCTCACAGCCTTCATGTAATCTGATTCTCATTTGAAATATCAAGTAACATTGGCACACTTTGGGATAGAGGCCATATGATCCACACCCAGAAATCCCCTGTGTCCAGGTTTTATCAGGACTACAACAGATCAAGGACAGCACTTTGATCTCAAGTGTGACCTAGACCACACACTACTCCCAGGAAGGTTGGACACACTTTAATACAATGGAGTGGCAGTCTGAAGAATGACATGAGGGCAAAGGCCATAAAGTGACATCAATGAGATCCTGGAAGCTCCCTGACTACCTCGTACCCTAGGTCCAGCTTAAATTTAAGGGTGTGTGGGCTTCACCCCTCTTTTTTTATTAACCTGGACAACCCTCACTACAAGGGATCCAGGACAACCTTAATGGAGACAAGGACTCACCTGAATGACCAAACAAAATGGAAATACCTTAAAATGAAGATTAAACTGCATCTGTCCTTGATTTCAAGTGGTTTTGTTTTCCAAGCCAGACCCTATTCTCAAAAGCAAGCATTGCTCAACTGATGATTGACCATCAAATTCATATAGATGTAAGATGGAGAGCCTTGACCAAAGAAGCTGTGTAAAACTTAACTTCAATGGGTGGATTTGGACCTCCCATTTGTTCAACCCAGGGTGTACTCATTCATGGATCTGGGAACATTACAGGGTCTTCATGATGTTTGAGACACACATGACCATCAAACATTCTGGGCAGACTTTGGCAAGAAGAGTATATGAGTTGCACTTTGTGGTTTGCCTCTACTGCACATGTCCTGTTTGGATTTCAAGATACTCAGAAAATTTTCTTCCAGTTGAGAGTTAAGTCAACACTAACCAGGCCTTGAAAGAAATCTGGCCCTATTTTAACAACGAGGGCAGGTCTGATGAGACAGAGGACACAAAGGCCATGAAGTGACATCAACAGGGTCCTGCCAGCTCCCTGACTACTGAGTACCTTGGATCCATGTTAAATTCAGTGGTGTGTGGGCCACATCCCCTCTTCTTATGACCCAGTACTATGCTCACAGCAAGGGAGCCAGAGTCATACATCATGGCCTTACTTGGGACAAGCAATCTCTTTAGTGACCATTCATGTCTTAATATCAAGAATGGTTAGATGGCACATGACATTATTGTGATTTCACCTGATTGTACCCCACCCCTCCAGACTAGACTCTAGTCAACCAAAACTCTTAGATGCATAAACAAGCCTTCTTAGGCCGATGACTCACAGCCAATCAAAGTCACTGTGAGCTGGGGACCAAGAAGCCTGGACCAAATTTAATTTTATGGGCTGTGGGCCTCATTCCTCTCCATCAAACACAGGAGGATATGCTCAACTCAGAGGACCCAAGACCACAAAACATGGCCTTCATGATATTTGCGGCATACCAGAGAAACAATCTGGGCAGGCACTGGCATGATGGGTGTATAGACCGCACCCAGGAGTCATTGTGTGCCCAGCTGTCATCTGGTCATCAAGAGATCCAAGACAAGATGATCTCATTTGTATTAGCAACACCAAGACCTCAGAGGAAACTGGAACCACCACAAGGACCAACATTAGTGGTCCGATATGTGACATCATCCTCACACACTTCAAGACTGTGGTCCAAACCCTCACATCCTGACATCACAGGTTCCCTAGCTTGACCCTCAACTTGATCTGATTAGAAACATCAAATGACTTAAAAATGTGATGACTCTGGAGTTACAGACACAACTTTGATGCAGATGTATAGTAGAAAACCCTGAAATCCCAACTCTCATGGCAATTGTCTAGACATAGTTGCTTATGTTTCTCTTAAAGTGTCACCAGAGCCTACCTAGAAGAAGCCAGAATTATA